TGTGTGTGTGTGTGTGTGTGTGTGTGTGTGTGTGTGTGTGTGTATTGAGCCCTCTTACAACCCGCACCCTGCAGCTCCACGTGGCTCTGTTTGGCTTGGAGCGCTCTGCATCCCTGTATTTTGACGCACATACACACGGTGTGCATGGCCCAGCCAAGGTTATTTATAGACTGGCCTCAAGCTAGAGAGTGTAAAAAAAAAAAAGAAATAAATCAGTCTCAGGAGGCAGAAGTGACAATTGAACTAAGCCTTTGAGCCGCGAGAATGCACCTCCTCCCTCTTCATCGACACAGATAAGGAGAGCAATAGAAGGGATTCTGTTTGTGCGAGCGCGTGACAACTTTTCTGCAAGTCAGCACAGCGGAGGAGCGACAGAAGCGCTTGTGCGCGGCTGCGAAACAGCGAGAACCCCTCGGGCTTCGGTACAGTCGCCATCCCTCCCCCATTCCTCCCCCTTCTCCAGCAGATAACTGTGGTAACTGCCGGGACTTCCAGCCGGCCCCTCACTGCGCCCTCTGCTGGACGGCAACACACTGCAGGCGGAGAGGCCACTGTGATCGGGTCTTAATCCCATTGTTGTAGATTAGATTAAAGGGTTTTAGCTGTCTGTCGACAGCGCAGCTTGCTGCGGCGAACAATGAGTAATGAGTGGAATGGAAAGCTGTGGGAAGGGATTTGCTGGCCGTTATCGTTCATTCGCAAATACCACCAAAACAAACATGCCCGTCTTTTGAAGCGCTAACATTTTTTGGGAGCGCTGTGCCGGCTTACACGTTTTAATGAAAGATAAATTAGCCACCTTCCGTTTTGTCTTCTCCTCATCCTCTCTTTGCCATCTCTCATCAAGACCTGTACAAGCCAGCGGTCTCCCACAGGGACCTGAACAGCCGGAACGTCCTCGTCAAGGCCGACGGCACATGCGTCATCATCGATTTCGGCCTGTCCATGAAGCTGACGGGGAACAGGCCGGCACGTAACGGCGAGGAGGAGAACACCGCCATAAGCGAGGTGAGCGTTCGGCAGTTTTAGGATCTACGTCTTCCCCGTCTCGCCTCCATCTCTTTTCGCCGTGACTCACCCTGCTTTTCACTCCGTCTGCCAGGTGGGGACGATCCGCTACATGGCCCCAGAGGTCCTGGAGGGGGCGGTGAACCTGAGGGACTGCGAGTCGGCGCTGAAACAGGTGGACATGTACTCCCTGGGCCTGATCTACTGGGAGAGCTTCATGAGATGCACTGACCTCTTCCCTGGTGAGACACACACACATGCTTGTAGTTTTTTAATTCTTACTTTCATCATCTTCACCAACAGCACAAGCCCCTCCCACGCTGCAGACAGCACAAAGCCATTAAATACGCATTCATCTTATCTGGGAAGCAGACGGCGAAATGCACATCCATAATGAATATTTCTGCCCCGTGAAAAATATGTAAGACGCGTCCTTCCTCGTCCCTTACCTCCAGGAGAGTCGGTGCCAGAGTACCAGATGGCCTTCCAGGCAGAGGCAGGGAACCACCCGACGTTTGAGGACATGCAGGTCCTGGTGTCCAGGGAGAAGCAGCGGCCCAAATTCCCCGAGGCCTGGAAAGAGAACAGTTTGGTACGTTGGTGTGTGTGAAAAGACGTTCTCAGAGAACTGTGTGTGTATTTATTAGTGGTGCAACGGATGATTATAGCAGCTGGTCTGCAAGGCTCCAGATCCAGGCGCTGTTTCTATAGCGAGTGTTCATATTGCTCGTATTGTTGAATATCAAAACCGTGTCTTCTCCTTCAGGCGGTCCGCTCTCTGAAAGAGACGATGGAAGACTGTTGGGACCAGGACGCAGAGGCCCGTCTCACGGCCCAGTGTGCCGAGGAGCGTCTGGCGGAGCTGCTCCTCATATGGGACCGCTCCAAGTCGGTCAGCCCTACGCTCAACCCCATGTCCACCACGCTGCACAACGAGAGGTATGCGTGAAAGACCTATATCGTCGCGCTGCTCATTTCAAATGTCGTCCTTGACGTGTTTTGTTTTTTTGCCTCTCCGTGTGTCCCGCCAGAAATCGCATGACGCCGAAGTCGGGCCCTTACACAGACCAGACGTCCACTTACATCGAGGAGAATGAGGGCGTTGCCAAGAACGCGCAGGCCGACACCACCGGCTCGGTGAGCGGTCGCGCCGGGGCCGGGACCGGAGAGAGGAACAGGAACTCCATCAATCAGGAGCGCCAGCAGCAAGCCAACGCCCGCCTGCCCAGCCCGGAGGGCAGCAGCACCAGCGCGGGGTTCAGAGGCAGCCCCTCAGCCTCCACCACCACCACCACCACTATCATCTCCGACTCCGAGGGCACCACAGGGTCCGCCACGGTCCCCGTCTGCCTCCACCTGACCCAGGAGGACCTGGAAACCACCAAGCTTGACCCGAAGGAGGTCGACAAGAACCTGAAGGAGAGCTCGGATGAGAACCTGATGGAGCACTCGCAGAAGCAGTTCTGCTCCCCAGATCCGCTGAGCCCCGGCAGCTCCAGCCTCCTCTACCCGCTCATCAAGATGGCGAGTGAGGCCGCGGGCACGTCGGAGCCCGCCGCCCCGATGCCCGCCACCATCTTCCCCCTGCCCAAGCAGCAGAACTTGCCCAAGAGGCCGTCCAGTCTGCCCCTGCGCACCAAGCCCACCAAGAAGGAGTCCTCGTCGTCCTCACTCAGGTTCAAGTTCGGACGCTCGGGGAAGTCCAACCTGCGGCAGGTGGAGGGCTCAAAGATGAACATTGGTGCAGTGACGGGCACCAACGCAGCGGCGGAGGCTCATCGGGGCGCGGGCACAAACAACACACCCGCTCTGCGCGACGCGCACGCCAACGGCGCCGCTAACGGTCACGCCAGCGCCGGGGTCTCGGCCATGGTGGCAGGCGGGGCGACGGGTTTCGGAGGGTCCAGCGTAACTCAGAACGGGTCCGGAGACGGCCGCCTGAGCCTCGGCGTCATCACAGCCAGCCCCGACGAGCACGAGCCGCTCCTGAGCCGTGAGCGGGAGCAGCCCGACCCGAGGGAGGCAGCGCCGAGTGTCGCGGCCCTCCGCTCGGCCCGGCCCAACACGAACAACAACAACAGCAACACCGGCCACGGCAGGGGGGACGGGGAGAGCGGAGGAGAGAGCGACGGGGGGGAGGAGGAGGGGAGCGGGGAGGGAGGGAGCAGGGAGACCACGGGGCCCCCAGGAGAGAGCTCGGGGTCCGGTGTCGTCGCCCCCCAGCGGGAAGCTCCGGTCACCATGAGAGGGGAGGCCCTGCTCAGGCAGCCCAGAACCCGCCGGCCTGAGAGACCCAACTCCCTGGACCTGTCCTTCACTACACAGGACCTGGCCTCACTAGGTGACTGACTATTTATTTAGGTGCATTACATTATATTATTATAAATTGTTGAATACATCGATGATACCGTACTTTGTATCCTTAAAGGGATTGTACACGCGGAGAGTAGTTTGCCCGTCATGTGGCATGTGAAAATAAACCATGATGTCATAATAACATAGTGATGTCATCGGGTTTATCTCAGCTTGGGAGTGGAGACGACAGAGTTACATACTGGGGCTAGGAGTTAGAAAGAATTGGGCATTTTACCAACTAATGACACTACACTAATGACGCTATATAGGTTGCATTGTAACATTTCTCCAACTTGATTAAAGTGTAATACTGAATTGCCCGGAGGTCCCTTTAAATGAATAGAAACGCTAAACACACAAGTATTGGGACTGATCAGTGTCCCCTTCCTTCTTCCAGGGGAGGGCTTGGTCCAGCCTGACGGGGCCTTGGGGCCGGGCGGCGAGAAGATCAAGAAGCGCGTCAAGACGCCGTATTCCCTGAAGAAGTGGCGGCCCACCACGTGGGTCATCTCCACGGACGCCAGGGGGCCGGAGGTCAACAACAACAACGGGTCGTCCCGCGGCCAGGCGCACAGCCAGAGCCGGCCCAAGTCCAGTTCGGCCATCTACCTGCGAGGGGGCAGCTTGGCCAGCGAGCCCAGCGACACGCACGTGTGAAACGCGGGCTCTCTGACAAGACTGAAAAAAATATATATAATAATAATAACAACCAGAGAGCGTTTGGTTTGTGTCTGCTGAGCTCCCTGCTCTCAATCAGCAGGAGGAAGCTCCGGAGCGTCTCGTGAACAAACAGTCTGAGTCTGATCGTGTACAGTAATTAGGTCCGTCTCACTCCTGTGTCTTTCTGATGATGGCATTGCTTTAAATGGAATCCAGCTATGCAGCATTCTCATCCGCTTCTGTTTACGCGTTTTATTAATCTCCCCTTTTGTCCGTTTATTGTTTTCTACCACGTTTCGTCCCTTTTTCTTTTGTCTGTGTGCACTTTGAACCGACTAAAATCAGTGTTTAGAAAAGTCCCGTCTGTTGCGAAAGTGGTCTCTAAACTGAAAAAATGAACTGAAAAATAAAAGGCGACGACAAACAATCAACACTTTGAGCGCTCTCGTTCGCTGCATCGAGCGGTGTTTCGGGAGCGTGCTCGGTAAAAAGCATCGACGGTCTTAAAAGACAGAACAAACTGCTCTAATCTTTATTTGTTTCCTTGATTTGTATGCAATACCAATTTTATTTCGCCTGTGTATCGTTTCTAATTGTGCAATAGGATTTAGCTTTTAGAACGCTTTCAATGTTTGTTTTTTTTAACGCTTCCGTTCTTTTGGTTGTTGTTTCAAATCCCGTCGTTATTTTTTTTTTTTTAAATGTTAATCTCTGTTGCACTTATGAATTGTCACAATCGTTTTGTAAACAATCCACCGTACACTATTCCCCCCCCCCCCCACCCCCACCTGACTCGAGAGCAGAAAAAAGCAAATGACAATCTCTGGACTATTTTTCGGGGGGGCGGGCACAAACACAATCAACCCAAGCTGACTGGAAGAAACAAAGTGGGTTTTCATGGAACTCCCTCTGCTTGCACAATGAACACCAGGAATGGCTCAAACTCCGTAGGGTGGGGGGTATTTTAACGCTACAATCACCGGAATCAAACCTGCGGAGTGATCTGCTACAGTGGCCGACTCCCAACCCTGTCCCGCCATCGCCTGACCTCACTGTGGACTCTGTTCAGCTGCCTGTCAGTCGACTGAAACACTAAGAAAGCCCATATTCTGCTCCTTGAACCGTTGTCGGAAAAACCATAAACTAACCTAAAAGAAACCAAACCCCTCTGAAGCACGCTGGATATTATTTCTGCTTCTCCCCGTCTCATCCCTCGATGTCCTAACGACTGATTCCTGCGCGTGTGAGTGTGCACGTGTCGTATTTTTCCTTTTTACGAGCATTAGATTTTGTCGGCCGTAGCGCTGTACAGGCGTGCTGAAATGTCATCATTCTGTATTTTCAGGCGCTGCTTCAGGGCATATGAAAAGATCTCATTTATGTTTTTGTAATCTGTAATTTGTATGAAAAAAAAAAAACCCAACATATGTATGTGTACTGCATTGATATTTGCATTGTTTTTATGGAATTCTGTTTTTTTTGTTGCGTTCAATGGACACGGCCTTCGACTCCATTGCTATGCATCTGCTCGGTACAGTTTCTGTAAACATTTTCAAGTCAATATGGAAGAAAAAAAAACTCAATAAATGTATGAAATAATCGTTGGTTATATTTGTTAATGTCATATCTCATTTGGGTTTCAGGGCTTTTGTTCTGAAAGTACTGCAACAGGAAAAATTACAGTAGTCATTTTATAAAGAAGTTAATTTATTCCAATATGTTGCACTATTCCATTAAAACCTCTCCCTTGCATGTATTGCTATTTCGGGAGCCATATTAGTTTTGCATAACATACATGAATGTATTAAATGTGGACCCCGTGGTGCAGAACACGTCTCCCAGACTTCCCATCAGTTGCCACAGTCGACACACGAGGGAGACATTTCCTATCCCCATCTTGTTTACCTCGCTTTCTACCCGCCGTCTGCTCCACGCGCCCTAGCAACTGCAGCATCAGCACGAGCGGGCGCAGCGTTCGGTGCTTCTACGTCAGAGCTCTCCTTCGGCAGCGTCAAGTCTGCGAGAGGCAGCCGGGACCGCACCGGAAGTTGACCGACTTTCATTCAAAATAATATATAAGTTTGTCAAACGTGGAGTGTTTTTTAATTTTGACCCTTTAGTTTGGAATATTTCAATAGTACAAGATTTTAACATTATTTTAGGGGGCTTAATGTCACATGGCAAACGTGTTGCAGTGTGCATTTAAGACTGTTTTAGGTGTTTTGTAGTACACAAGGTGGCTAACAATAAGCTATTGTTGTTCCTATTCATCCTCTGTTTCCCTCCCACTCAAGGTGCTTTTTGTTTCTTTGATTTGTTTGTGTGGTAATTGGGTTAAACACATTAATTAAAAATTATACAACAGGTAAACAACACTGAATGATGGCAGTCTGACATTAAGATAGGGCTTTAAAGTCATAAAATACAGCAGGAAATGGACCCACTTTAAATCACTCGTCAGTTGATAAAGTGCATTGCAAGTAAGTTAGCACAAACCATCAAACTCACGGTACACCTGTGATCTCCTTTGGAATAAATGTTAAAAGGCTTTTACTTTGAAAACAACCGGAAGTGTCCGCGTTCATTCCCCGCGCTTTACACTGGTACCTTTCCCGTCGTGTCAACTGAGGCTAGCCCAGCATCACCGCCTTCTTCTTTCTATCCCCTTCTGTATTTTCTGTCCCTCTTGTTCCTTTTTCCGTTGTTTTCCCGACATCCTCGGGACACAGCGCACCTTCCTCTTTTCTTTTCTTTTCTTTCATTTCTTCCTCGACCAGGAGGCGTTTCGGTGGCCGCTCCAGCCGTCGTGCCGCATCAGCCGAGGGGAGAAAACATCCATCCGCGACGACGAGGAGGAGGCAGGGTGCGAAACACAGCAACGCCCATTTTGACACCTCCTGTATCACTACCGTCTCCACGACAGACGTTTTTAGCATCTTTTTCTATGTCCGCGTGTTTATATCGAAGAGGCCTTTCCCTCACTTGTAGCCTGCACCGACGGTTCCCACCGCGTCTTTGACGCCTTCGAGTAGCGGCGGATATCAACAGGGAGCCGGGCTGCTGCCTCCATGCCCCTCTGCAGGTGAGCGGGGTTTCTCCTCACGCGCACATCTAAATCTCAACATGGACGCTCCTCTGTTATGTGGAGGTTAGGTCTGGACTAGCATGGAGTATGTTTTGATGATGGTGATTATATCATGCGGAGGGGGAGGGGGGGCATGCCAGTCTCCCAGTAAACAAAATAGCCTTTTATTATGTGCATGTGATTGCGTGGAGATTTGCTCTTCTGTGAGCAATCTTTCAAAATAAAAGTATTGTGATATTTAAAAAATATATATATACTTTTATTTCCATTACATTCAAATTGCAGGGTTAAGGCAGTGTGCAAAAGCAGTTGTGTAAACTTGAGCTGAGTCGATGAATTGATTAGTCGATTAACAGGAAATTAAACCGCCGTTTTAATTTGTTAAGCAAAAGAAACTACAAAAGAAATCCACCGCTTCTGACTTCTTTAAGTAGATATTTGCTGGTTTTCTCAGTCGACTATGATGTATTGTGAATAGTCTCATAGTTAATTGGCTATTTTTGTTGAACAAACTCATGGTTGAACAAAATAAGCAATTTGAAGGGCATCAATTTGGGCTTTTATGCGATTAATGGTGAGAATAGATGTACATCCCTACTTTCTGTGCAAGTTGACTGCCCCACTTTTGCTCTTGGCAGATCAATAACGGTCTGTCTTGTGTTAGGAGTTTATCTGGTTTTAAAGGGACCCCCACAAACCTGAAATACTACCAGGTAACACAGTACTACTACAACCAGTGCTGCTGCTGCTGCTGTCAGCCTTCAGGACATTGCAGAGGAGTGCAGGAAAAGCTGCTAAAATAAAGATGGCTGAGCATTTTGCTGCTAGACCTCTGATGCCCAAACCCCTGTTTACTTACACACACACACACACACAAACACAATGAATGAGTGTCAATGAAGATCAGTCGGCCCCGTTCCCTAGCAACAGCGACGTGTGCTGGTCAAAGCCCCCCCCCCCCCGCCAAATTTAGCTCCTAGGCCAGTCGATGCGGCTGTGTGTTCGTGCATGTCGCTACATGCTGCATGTGCAGTGTATTTGTTATCAGGGTTATGTCGACTTTCAGTGGGAGCACCCATGCTACACAAATAAATAAATGCACTCTCTATGCTGGAAGGTGCTTTGCATTGAATTAGAGTAGACCTCACTTGGTCTGGTATGAGCAGTAGCTTATATGGCTAATCTCAGCTGACATGAGGGTTTTTAAGGGTATGGATGTATTTATACATGTTTGTTTTTCAATGCAAATCTGAAATAAGGATTTAGAATTCGCTGATTCCCCGCAAGGGCCCATGGGTGTCAGTGGACCCCTGCACCCATGCAAAAACATGTTCCTGCAGCTCTGAATCCGGGTCAGTCAGGGAGAAGCCAGCACCTGCCCCCCTCAGTGCCTCCTCCCTTGCTTTAAGCTGTTTTAATGGCATTAACCAGGGGGTTGTGTGGGGACTCAGAGGGGTGGGGGGGGGGCATATCTGCTCTGCCCAGCACGGAACAGATTAACATCAATCTGGCAACACACACTCATAGACACAAATGCACACACAAACCTAGACAGACAGCCATGAGCTAATCCCGCAGACCAGCTGTGTGTTGATGTGTTTACCATGTGTTGACAAATAACGTGTTTACATCGACACGGCAGACCTGACTCACCTCCTCTCTCTCTCTCTCTTTCAGACGTTACCCGTGGCCTTAACGTCCCACATCTTCCCGCGGTTCTCCCCCGCGTCCTCAGGCGTCCCGCGCTGAGCGCCCCACCGCTCCTCATTCTCCTCTCGGTCTCCCGCCATCGCGTCCAGCTGTGGCCCTCGCAGGGCGCGCTCGCTGGCTCTCACCTGACAGGTCCCCGGCCTCAGGACGACAGCCAGCACCTGCAATCTCCCTACATGAGGGACAAAGCGACGCAGGTGAGTGCTGTGGGGGGGTTAATGTCTGTGTGTGTGTGTGTGTGGGGGGGGGGGGGGGAGTGCATGAGTCTTCTTTATATGCACAGGTTAAATTCAAACAAATAACATATAATGCATGTTTGTGTGTTAGCATGCTTGCATTTGCTAATTAGGCACAGGGTGCTTTAAACTGAATGCTAACATTAGCATGCTAACATGCTCACAACTGCAATGCTAACATCCTGATGTTTAGGAGGTTAGCATTTAGCGTGTTAGCATTCTAACAACTCCAATAAGCACTGAATATGAGAACAGGTATTTGTTCATAAACCAAAATATTGGACACGAAGATCTTCCCCTGATGATGGCGCTAGATGAAAAGTCAGAGGACTAATGAATGTCTTTACAAAATTCCACAGCAATCATCTACTAGTTGCTAAAATATTCAGACTGGAGCAATTATTTGACAGTCAGACAGACGGACTGACGTTGCCATCAATGGCAACCTGAAGCAAAGCCAAGATGGATGCTTGCAAGACGTATGCCCGATGCGAAGAGGTTAAGAGGGATTGCGGACGGTTGCATCATCAGACTGACTCGGGTCAAACAGAAGCTGTAGGATCTGTCTTTATCTCAGTCCGCTTCAAAACCGCCTCGGGTGTTGTTTCCGTTCTGCTTTAAGACAACATGTGTCTTTTTTTTGCCCCACCAGACTGTTTTTGTGCTTGTATGTTTGATATTTAGCTCTTACCATACTGTGTGTGTGTGTGTGTGTGTGTGTGTGTGTGTGTGTGTGTGTGTCAGACCCCCAGGGCCTGGGCAGATGAGAGGAGGAGGGGATCTCACAAACGCTCGGCCTCCTGTGGGAGCACCGACCAGCTCAAGGAGGTCAGTCTCTTTCCTGAATCTACAGCCCAAATACACAAACAGTCTTTTTTCCCTCTACAGATCGTCTGTTTACATCTATACGTCTGTCTGTTAAACCTTCGCTTTCCAGATTGCCAAATTGCGTCAGCAGCTCCAGCGCAGCAAACGCAGCAGCCGCCATCGGAGGGATAAAGACCGCAAATCCCCGTTCAATGGCAGCCACACCATCATCCAGTCGCAGGTAATCAATAGAGACAGCTTTGACAAAAGCTCATTAACAGATACAAAGAGCCACCAGCTAGCAGGAGCTTGTTAATAGATGAAGAGCTCCCCTTCCCTTTACGAAACGTGCCATTTGCATTATTCGAAGATTTTGATTATTGCTCGTCAAACTTAAGCTATGGAGCTGTAATTTGTCATATATTTATGATTTATGGATACCTATGTTGGTATTACAAGTGCAGCTGTTTTTTATCCTGTGTGCGGAGCAATAAGACAGATTTATGAAGCACGTATTTATGTTTTTCCGTCTCACTGCATTCACCTAAAAACAGGTGCAGAATCCATATGAACTGTCCGGGCCTTTGTGTGTGTGTTTTGCAGTCGCCGATGCCCAAGACCATCCTGATACCCATCCCCATCTCCAAGTCATCGGCCCCTCGTTTCCGCAACAGCGTGGAGGGCCTCAACCAGGAGATCGAACGCATCATCATCCGGGACACGCCTGAGAAGGACGAGACCATCGTGGTGAGTTCTGAGAGAAATATAAAAACGTTTTTTACGACCACTGTCCGGGTTTTAAGACCCCGGTGCTACGTTGTTATTGTGACCTCATTTGTGTGTGACAGCCACAGGATGTCCCAGATGGGCACCGCGCGCCCCCACCGGTCCCCCCGCAGCGCGGCAGCAGCACCCGCAGCATCGACACGCAGACCCCCTCGGGGGGCGGCCTGAGTGGTAACCACAGCAACAGCAGTAGCCGCCCCGACTCCATCTCGCCCTCCTACCTCACCGTCCTCAACGACACGGGTGGAGGCAGCCCCTATGAGGACAAAGGTGACTTAACACACACCACACATTGTACACGTGCCCTGCCAAAGTCTTCTCGAGCGTGATCTGTTTGCTCACCGCGACCTTTGACCTCAAGTACCCCCCCCTCCTTGTCTGCCCTGTCCACAGAGCTGGGCCCCTGCTCCCCGCTGCCCAAGTACGCCGCCTCCCCCAGACCTAACAACAGCTACATGTTCAAGAGGGAGCCTCCAGAGGGCTGCGAGAAGGTGAAAGTGTCCGAGGAGACCATGTGAGTAGAAGATCTTCAACGCACTTTTTCTTGTAACCACTTGTATCGTTACGCTTGCTGTTGTGGGGGCTAAATGTGTCCCTGCACGTGTGCTTCCAGGCCCAAACCCCTGCAGGCGCTCCCGCCCTTCCTGTGTCCCGACCGCAACAAGGTCAACTTCATCCCCAACAGCGGCTCCGCCTTCTGCCTCGTCAGCATCCTCAAGCCCTTGCTGCCCGCCCCGGACCTGAGCTTCCGCTCCGCGGTGGGCCTCCGGAGCCTGTCCCCGGCCCTCGTGCCTCTGTCCACCCAGCCCTGCCTCCTGGAGGAGCCCGAGAGCTTCTGACAGCCCACGAGGGCTTTAAAGTCAAAAAGAAACCCCGTCCCCTCTACGAAATCAGAAAACATTTACTAAGAAACAACCCTTCTGCTCCAAAAAATTTAAATAAATTTAAAAAAGCCTTCAGCATGCCAGCTAAGCTCTCTCTGATGTCCTCCTCTTGTTGAAGCGCTTCCCACTGCCTCTCCTCCTCAGACGACCACGACCCCAGAGTCCTGCAGCGGCTGACATTTCATCGCTTTCTTCTACCTTCAGTGCTGGTTATGTTCCTGTTTTTTCATGGGGAGGAGAAAAGGGGCGAAAAAAAGGACAGACTCTTTTATTTCATCGTATTATACCATGGCGCCTTTCCACGGACATCTCTTTTTCTATCTGTAGTTATTTCTCTTGATATGTAAAATATGCCTTCCATTATTTGAAACAAAGAAAAAAAATGGGGGCCGCTGGTTTCCTTGGAGGCTAATTTATTGGTGCTGCCAGATATTACGTAGCAAAACTTGAACGGTCGCTAACAAAGGAGGAGTTGGAAAAAATAAATGTGCCTGATATTTCAGAACGCAGCTCTCCGGTCACGTGCGTCTCTCTAGCACGACGCGCGTGATGTCGGCAGTACGACAACCATAGGTACACACAGAAAGGCAGGCAAGTGGGGTGGTCCACAGAAACAACCCAATATTTAGACCACCTGTGACCTAAATCCAGACGTTTTACCAGCCATTGTACTGGTACTGGTACTGGTAACAGCGAGCTGGTTTTCCCGCCCCCTGCCGGCCGGTGTGTGTATCTATCGGAAACGCGGGCCAGGGCTATGACGTGTGCAGCGCGTGTTCCACCTGTGTCCGCATGCCCCCTCCTTCCTATGAGACCAGCCTTCGCTCAAAAAAAACGCTCCATCACGACCAACCCCCTTCTGTTCCTCCTTATTTATTTTCCCGCTCTCGCTCTCCTTTTCTTTCCCTCGCGGCCACCGTAATGCTGATTTTTTTTTTTCCTTCTTCTTCTGTCTTGCTCGGTTAGTGTCGTGAAATGTGTCCCTACTGCGGGGGGGGGGGGAGGCTGAGCACGGAGAAGTCTGTGAACCCAAAAACACCGCAGGCCACGTGGGTACACAACTAAAAGTGACGTGCGCACATCGTGATTGACGTCCGAGCTGCGGTCACATGACCCGTTGGTCTCCGGCATCTCCGTGCCCCGCCCCCCTCTCCTCGCCCCGCCCCCTTCCTCCTGTAAACGTCAGCACTACTCGACTGTGCCTGCTACGGTGGGATAGGAATGTACTGGCTGTGTAAATAACGAGGCGCACTGTGTTTGTATCATCTACTGACAAAGATATGTATCTGAATGAGTCAATTGTACCATCTCCCCCCCCCCCCCTTTCCCCTCCTGCTTCTTCTCCGCTGAGTACTGTGAATTACTACACATCTCATTATTGTGAATAATGTATTTATTTATCGGGAGTGTAATGTTGGGTCGCCAGAGAATTTTAACCAAGAATAGATTACATCGTCCATCTCAGGTTGTAGTGACTAGGACACACGCACACACAAACAAAAGATGTACTAACTTCTCAGCGCACACTAACAAGTCTACTACGAAGGGAGCGAACCAACACGTAGCCTCCCACGCGACGGGAAGTGAAGTGATGGAAACCTGTAGCAGAGTGGAGAGAAGTGTGGATGTCATTCATTTATTTATTCGGTGACCTGATTTGTAAGAGATGGAGAGTTCTGTTCCAAAATGAGATATCCACGTGCTGGTGAAACAAGCACACCCACGAGCGAAGACGTCCGTTTACAAAAATACAAAAGTAGCTTAAAAGAGCAGATTCATACACGTGGAACAGATTTATTTCAACTTGTTTTCTTTCTCAAAGTGGATAAACAGCATTTCTGGAACTCGACACAATGATTCCTTGTTTGCTCGTCCAGTTTATTGTAAACAGAACTGCCACGTTTTCATCTGTTAAACCCCTCGAGTAAAATAAAAAGGCATAGTTGAATTAAATAAAGCATTTGTGATTGACTTGAGAAATACATTCTTTTTGTTTTTTGATGTGTGTAAAGCAAGAGTAAACAGTATAATACATGACCTCGTGTCACATTAAAAACAAAAGTTAGTGTAGTAGGGGTATATTTCCCCCAGAAAAGCAGATCATAATATGTATAAAAAGTGTTTTTCAGAGTTGATTTTTTTCCCATGATGCACTGCGATCACCTTTACTCCCTTGAGTGAGATGTATACAGGCACACGACTGAAACTGAGGATTTGGTCTCGGTGCATGTGGACGTGATATTCACATCTCAACAACGTAGGTATACTTTCCATAATAATAATAATAATAATAATAATATGATTTTAGAAACCCGACTGCATCTTCATTTTGCAGCTGGTCACTTTGGAAACATTCATAAAGTGTTGGTCGTCTTTTCCCCTTAAATATACATCAGAAGTCCATTCCACGACATAACAGTTCTCCAGTGTTGATCCTTTTCCCATAAAACAATAGATTTCATAAATCCATCTGTGAATTCTGAAAATAAACAGTTAAAAATACAGTATTTTACTTCTTATTTTAGTTTCTCAAAAAACAAACCGTTATATAATCAGAAAATAAATACAGTTTGATGCAGCTTAGGTGTTATTGTCAGATTTATAGGACTTATATAACCCACCCAACCCATAACGATTCAATCCGGTGTCCTACTTTAAAACAAAATAAATGTTTCAACCGTCACATTTTTCTTGGCTTGGGATTGTGGAATCTGAACGGCGGATTGGACTGATTTAGTATTTTTACCCACACTTCATTCAGAGACAGTAGAATCTGGGATGAATGAACATAAAGACGCCGTCGGTGTCACAAAAGCCGCGGAGATTGGACAGTGTGAACTCTCCTGAGGGGGATCAATAAAGCGTCATCAGACAGGTGGAGTCTTCAAGATCCAGAGTTTGTGAAGGGGTCTGCATCAGTGTCTCAGGGTCCGTTCTTATCGCATACATACACAATGTACAATATATTTATAGCGTACGCTCTTCATTCACACGTGACAATCATGTGCTACCATGTTTAAACAACAGTAAGCAGTAAATGGAGACTCTTTCTTTACATCCTGGGTCCTCTGTGATGTGTGCACACGGCAAACAGACACACACCCAAACGACGCAAACAAAACAGAAAGAAAAACTAAATAAACCTGCAACCCAAACCTTCTCTCCGCATGAGGTTTGCTGAGAGTCCGTGTAGTGTTAGCAGTCATTGACGAAGCTGCAGGAGAGCGTTCACCCACTCACAGCACTTTCCCCTTTTCCAGTGTAGGATAACACCTTCCAGTGTAACACAAAATATGGATTTGCAAGTGTGGATATGTACACATATCTCCTGGTAACATGTGTGTGCATCAATGTCTCTGTGTGTGTTCTTTTACTTGGTTTCTGACATCCAGATCCTGTGAGAGAAATCCATCACACACACATATACAGAGCTCTAGGCGTTGAGGAGCTCGTCCGGGGAACGTCCAATGGCGTCGGGGTTTGAGAGGGGGTCCAGGTCTGCGAACAGGTTGAACCAGGCGGACATGTCTTTGGATCCACCTGGAGCAGCTGTCAACAGAAGAGAGTTTAAGTTTAGCAACTGGTTTCAGGGTAATTAGATTGATTGGAACTGTGTCTGTGAGTATGTATAAAAGACATTAATTATCTCAGCAGGTAAATTTATTTGGTTTTAATAAAATGAACACGCAGGGAATAATATTCCGGGACTAATCTACATGACAGTTTTTACTAAAAGAAGACAAGAACCCAGATTGAGGGAGAGCGAACCGTTAGCTGCTGCACTTGGGGCCGGCGGAGCTGATTGGCTCTGCCCGGGAGGAGGCTGCAGGGGCGGAGCCTGGAACATAGGCGGGGTCGACCAGCCTAGGAGACAAAGAAAAAGTGATGAGAGCGATGGGTTTCGGCGTGCCGCGGCGAGCTCGTCCCTCCAGCAGAGCAGCAGTGTGGCTGACCTGTGGAGCTCAGGCTGTGGTCCAGCAGCTGGGAGGGCAGGAAGCCCGTGGGGCTGGGGGGGCCGGAGGGCGGACGCGCCGCCGGCCCGCTCTCTGCTGCCCCCGTGCTCGGTGGAGGAACAATGGGAGAGTCGAACAGCCCGAATGCGTCCTGCCACTCTCTGCTGAACTCGTCGGCGGCCCCCGGGCCCGGGCTGAGGAGGTCTTTGAGGAAGGCCATGTCGCCCCGCTCGCCATCCTCCTCCTCCGGTCCCAGCCCTAAAAGCAGACTCTCACCTAGAGGGAAGGGAGTAAAAAGAAGCTGATGAGAAATATTCCTAAAATATTTTTGATATTGTTCCTTTTAGCAGATGAGATGTCAACACAGCTGCCCTAACGTCACAGTAAATCATCAGTTCATGGTCAGCCCAGAATGTCAAAGTAGTGAGTCTGAGGAGTGAAGAAGACGCTTGATTTCCTAAATGACAGGTGAAGGAAACAAAGCCTCTTGCTTTCAGACAGCCGGAATAAATCCAGATCCGAAGTGCAAAAGGAAGCAGAGACATAGAAAAGTCCCAGGAGCGGTGAAACTGTGCCACAACAAAGCAAAGTGAGTCCGAATCTGCAGGCGGTAGGAGACACAGAGAGACAGCGGGCCGGTTTACCGGAGGCAGGCAGCTGTGACAGGCTGGACTGGAGGCCTCCAAAGCCCCAGGGCTCATGCGAGTCTCCACCCTGAGGAGGCCGGTCCGTCGGCCAAGGCAGGTCACAGTCCATGAGCATCAGGTCGTCGTCCGGCGGTCCTCTGAGGTCGTACAGGTCTACAGCAGGTGCACTTGTGTTTTGGCGCGCTGAGGTCATAAAGAGTCGTAAAGCCAACAGGCATCTGGCCCAAAGTCAGCGACAACAGTCCCAATGTACACAACTGTACTGTTTACACACACACACACACACACACACACACACACACACACACACACACACTTACCACCGTCACTGGTTTGGCTCTGTCCATCACTGATGGGGTCTGGAAAGGAGGGCACATGAAAAACACTCAAAAGCAGCTTCTTACATTACAGTATCACTGTTATACTTTTGTTGTTCGGAGGTTTATTTATATTGCAGACAAATGGCTAAACGCAGATAATGACATAACATACCATAAACAACTTGAAAAACTTAAATCAACTCATAAAACACCACAGACGCCGCTGCATCATTTTGAACAGTGAATCACATTAACTCTTACTTTAGTCAAAGTGAATTAATTTATTGATTAAAGTAAGGCTGCAACATACCATTAGTTTCACTACACATGATTTATTATTGTCTGTAAAATGTCTTAAATGTCTTCATGCCTACAGGGGGCAGCACATACCTGCTCCAGAGGCACTTCCTGATGGCTTGTTGTCGTCATCCAAGGACACCAGACTGAGGAAGGAGGAAGGGAGGAAGGAGGAAGGAGGAAGGGAGGGAGGGGAAAAAAATGAGAAAGTGCCTTATCTAGCTGGCGAGACGCGGCGCTTCTATTTTTAGCGATGCAGTGGCCTCCATTAGATTTGGAGCTGCAGTCTCACTGCAGGAGTACCGCTCTAAGACCCTCAACTACCGCGTGGATCACTACCCATCAGCACACGTACAAAGCTGCTCCACTTACGTGTGACAGAACATGGGAACATGACTTCGTGATTGATGAAGACATAGCTGAGGTGATTGTGTGCAAGAATACAAAGAAAAGGGCAAACGGCGAGGGGAAATTATAGGGAAAGGAAAGAAATGCCTGGCAACAGAGTGTGTGTGTGTGATGACGAGGCAGGAGAGGAGCATGAAAATAGGAGTGCGTGTTAGGATGTGTGTGTGTGTCCTCTCACCTGTCCGTGTGGCTCTGCAGAGCCCTCTCCTTCTTATCCTCTCGTTTCTGCGCGTCTGTTATTTCCTCCAGTGGGTCTCGCAGGTCCTGTGCGAGGGAAGAATGCGGTCAAATGTGATGTAGAGACACTTCGGCCGCTGTCCGCCAGCGTCTCTGAAACCTGAAGTACCTTGAGCGTGGTGAACTGGTACGGCACGTGTCCCCGGAAGGCCTCTTGGATCCCCGACATGGCGTGGGCCGTCTTCTCCCAGAACTGCAGCAGAGTGGTCTGGAAAAAGACATGCATTGAATAAAAGGTAGACAGATGAAGACACTTGAACAGAGTCACAGTAAACTGTTGACGCACACACGTACCTGGTAGGTGCAGAGGGAATGGGAGAGCATGTTGCAGCGGCTCGCTCCCAGCATGTCCACCTTCTGACACACGTCGTTCTTCAGCTTCTCGAACTGGCTCTTCGTCCCTCGGACCTGGGTTTGGACCTGACGACGGAGAAGGCGAGACAGACAAGAGGATGACAAACACGCACGCGTGCTTTACATCGTCGCGAGGCGGTCGACAAACAGGCGTCCTCCCACCGTGCGGAACTTTTCCAGCTGCTTGTAGGTGTCCGGGTCCAGTTCTTGGGAGACATCTTTCATCCAGAGCAGAGCGCCTCTGTACTCGGTGCGGGCCTTCTCCATGCGGCTGACTGTCAGCAGCGTGTCGGCGATGGCGCGCCGACGGAACGTCTCCACTTCCTGGTGCAAGCGGTGCAGCGGCGGGCAGAATGCCATCCTATGGAGGAGAAAATAAGAATTTCCGAAATTCAGCAAAAATATCTCACTTTACGGTAGTTTAGAATGAATTGTACGTGTCGGCTTCATTGACCTCTGCTTGGCGGAGGTGCACAGGGCCTTGCTGGTGGCGTCCATCATGTTGCCAGCCTTTGTGCGATCGTCTACGGCCTGGAAGCGCAGGAACAGGCCGAGCTCGTTCTCCTCCTGAGACAAACCTGGGGACACGGCTCAAAGTTTAAGTCCCACGCACGGTGGCTGACGTTATAATATCTGAAATAAACACCGCCTCTATGGTATTCAGTGAAGAGGTGTCATGTGGAAGGTCTAGTTTGGACTCACGTGTGATCCGGTGCTGGTACTTCTCGATCACCTTCAGCAGCTCCGTGCACGTTAACTGAACCGAGCGGAAGAACTGCAGAGACAAACGGGCCCGGTTAGAATATGTCACACAGACCAGCTCCATCTTTAAACGCAGATCGTCTGCCACGTGTCCACTTCACGTCTCTTCTTTCGGGACTATGTTTTGCAGCGTGATGCTTCTCCCTCACGTAGCACGTGTATGTGTGTGTGTGTTGTGAGTGGAGAGCATTAACAGCCACGCTGAGACATCTCAATATGGTGCAGGTTCAGTCAAATAAACTGATAAAAAGCTGATGTACGGTTGCCAGTTTGTGTGGAGCCCTGACTTTGTTATTCAGTGGAAACATATCAAGAAGAGGTAGAGCACACCCAAGACTGTGAGAGAGCAGAGGAAGGAGGAGACTTGTGTAGTTACTCATTAACTGCAGAATAAACAGCCCGTCTGCCTCAGCAGTGGCCAAACACCTTTCAGCGTCAGATCTTTAGCGGTGTACAGGGCACTGCTCCTTCACAACACACCTCTTTAAATGTTTATTCTTGACATGAACCAACACATTCACCAGGATCATGTTTATCCAACGGCTGTGTCTGAGTCACAGGGGGAAACAGAGGCACAGTTCTGTTTTTCTAATTTAGGAATCTGATGGAGGAAAGCAACAGAGCGGATCGGCTCCAAAAACAACCTGCTCTGTATTTACTGTGTAAATATCCAAAAAGTGTCTTTTAACACCTCTTTGTCTGACGTTGTCTCCGGCTCACTGGGTATGGGTGGAGGGACAATGAGAGCAGGAAGGAGACAGACGGGGCCTGTTCGTGCTTCGAGGGGAACAAAAGCCTCACAGTGTGTCTCTAGCAGCTCGGTGAAACTCGACCACGTCCCCGCCTCGCGGGACCAGACAGTCGGGACGAAATACCAGACAGATGCCAGCTCATCCAAACCGTCCGTACGAAGCGTACTGTACCCTGCTAACAAGAGACACCTTGTGCCAACACACTGCTGATGTTCTGACAAAGTCATCTCATCCACATATTTGCGGGGGTCTGTTCTGACCAGGAAGGACAGGAAGACTACAGGCCCCGATACGGTTCCCTGCATGTAGGGCATTCCCAATCAGAGACACGTCCCTGATAGCGTACTTAGTGTAGTCAATCTGTCGTATCCTACCTCGAGCTTGGCGTCGAGGTCAGCGTCTGATGCCACCACGTACTCGTCCTCCTTCTTGCCCGTGGCTTTGATGAGGACCTGCTTGGTCTTCCAGAACTTCTTCTGCATGCGGGCCATGACCGAGCTGTCCTCGCCGAGCAGGGCCCGGCCGCCGCTCAGCATGTCCCCCGCAAACCTGGGGCCCAGACGGCTTCAGTCAGCTGTGTTTTACAACATAATAACATGACTGCTATTTACTAGAGTTATGTCATTTTACTACATACCCGTCCATCATTGGATATCAGCCTCTTTTTTCTGTTCTGAAAACAAAAATAAATACAGGGGGGGGGGGTGGGTGTTAAAATAGGATGAAAGCATCAGGATTTAAAGTATTTTGGAGCTGATGTCAAAGGCTGAAGGTTTCCTGTTGTTTCCTTGTTAAGGATCCTCACACAGGAAGACAAATCAGGCTTATGTACTTGGTTGAATAATGCAGATGTTTGCTTGATATGATCTGGTGTGAAACTGACTAACAGTGGCAGACTAATAGAAATGCAGGAAACAATGAAATGACTGACTGGGATACACACAGGGCACAGCAGCAGGCGACAGCCGACAGCTGTTTCCCCCACTGGATTATAACCGAGTTATAGGCGGTTATCGTGGAGGGTGATCTGTGGCTGGACAACAACTCATCGGTGCTAAAGGCTAATCAAATGCGGTTCTAGGAGCAGTGATCGGACACCTGAATAGAGAGCCAGCTGCCGAGCAGGTGTTCGGTTACAGGAAAAGGCTGCCCTGACGACACGGAAAGATACACAACGCTTTGTGAAATGCAACTACACTGTAAACACTTAGCTTGACAAAAATGTATAAAAGTAGAAGTAACCCTAACGGTAGTCGAGAAAAACGAACAAAGGAGCTCGTGAGCTAGCAGCAGTTAGCTTGTCGCTATCGTGGCAGGAACAGCAATGAGAGCAACTAACGAGGCAATTCAACATGGCCGCTTGTTCGTTTGTGCTCGGTTAGTTGAAGTAGGTGAATACACATTTACCTCGCTTTTAGTTTTGTCCCGCTGTCCCGAGCATCCATGCGGCGCAGCTCGGCTCCGCTAGCCTCCTCTGCCTACAGAGCCGTCATAATGTGAGTCAGAGGAACAGGATATGCAGAGTAGCTATGGCGCCGTTTGGACACCAGGGGGCGCTGCTGGCCAGGTAAAGACCGAAGATCGTCTTTTGAAAGAGGAGCTATTCACAGGCTGCAAAAATGGACTACAACCTAACAACGTTTCTCGTACATCAAGTTCAATGTTTTTGCAGTTGACTACATCAGAAGAAAGCATGAGAGATACGTTGATGCCCGTGAGGTGTTATGGAGTCAATGAGAGCAGCACATTTCGATGTAGTACAATAAATACCAGTCTGAGGAAAAAAAGAGTCGTTTCCCACAAGTTTTCTTTTGCTACCCAAAAACACAAGGACGGTGATAATGTACAACGGAACATGTGAAATATATCAGACAAACAATATTTCATGAATAATATCACAATATACTGGATTATTTACTGATGTTGCACTTCCGTCATCAATAGTTAAGCTAAATTGGAGGTAAAGAAACAACCAATAACAATCCAATACAGTACTTTAATATAGTTTGTATATGTGGAACATTTTCATTTGATCACTGTTTTTCTTTCACAAATCTACTATCGAGCGTTAATGAATGAAACATGAACAGAAGAGACATTTTAGGAGACAAAATTAATTTATAGTTTTCTTGGGTCACAGGAAGACAAAGACAATCCATAAGAAAATATGTGTAAAATTTAAGAGGGGCTAAAAATAACTGTAAAGAAGAAAGCAAGCAACGTTTGCCGCTGTACAAAACTCCCAAGTCGCTGCCGCTTTCGTCCTGTCACAACACTGATAATGTCCATCATTCGGTCCTTATCGTCTGCCTAGGCCCCGGCATCTGTCGGACAGGCCGAGTATCTGTAGGTGTACAGTTTGTTATCTGCACCGCCGCTCAGCATCAGCTGAAAAAAAAAAAAAAAAACATAAAAAGGTAGAGAAAGTTACACATTGATTTCATGGATTCAACTGCTGATTATTCTTTACTTTGGGATTAGATTTGTGTCTTACCCCGCTTTCTGTCCAGTCCACACAAAACACTTTGTCCTCGTGGGCCGCCAGGTCATACAGAGGAGCCTTACAGCTGGGAGATATGAAAGATACGCGTCAAACATATACCAATATACAGCATCAACAAAAGACAGATTTGAGTGATGTAGGCTGAGGAGGCATTTCATAGACTGTATTTTATTCAGACAAAGACAGGAAGCTTCTTCCAGACAGGAAGTGGTTTACTCTCAGCAGTGTGGAAGTAACAGGATGCATGGATAATGGCTTAAGTTCCCCGTTGGATGTCAGAGGGCAAGATAAAAGGAGTGAAAACACTCTAAACAGAGTGTACATCTAAACTGGTATCGTCTAAAATATATTCCACGGTAGTACAATGCTCCTATCTGCTTCTTTCCACTGGGAGGCTCGTCAAACGAACTGTCCCTTTAAGTCCTAATAAGTTGCTGACTTCTACAAAGCATTCACGTGCTTCACAGACCTTCTGGTGTCCCACAGTTTGACCAGGTTGTCCAGGGAGCCGGAGACCAGCTGGTGCTCATGTGACGGCGCCCACTTCACGGCGGTGACCCAGCCGGTGTGGGAGGTCAGGGACAGCAGCACCAGCGACCCGTCTGGAGCGGAGAAGAGGGAAAGCGAGGAAAGACGGCGGATATAAAACAACGCTGCTGAAACACCCATGGTCGTGTGTTCATCTGCTGCAGTGAGAGCACAGCGGTACCTTTGGTGCGAGGGTCCCACAGTCTGATGTGTCGGTCAGTGCTGCCGGAGGCCAGCCGTCGACACAGAGGTGAGTAGGAAATACAGTTGAACACTTTGCTGCCCGTCTGGAGAAAGGACAAAACGAATAGCGTCAAAATGTTGTCACAGTGACCATGTCTTATATGCGGCTGATGTTTCTGACCCAGTGTCTGCTCGTCGGTGTGTTTTTCTCACCAGCGTAGTCTTCATTCCTCCCGTCTCCACGTCCCACACGCGGATGGTGTGGTCCCATGATGCACTGCAAACTTCTTCACTGTCGCACCACAGGACAGAGGACACCGCCTCGTTGTGTCCAGATAACGTCATCAGTGGAGTCTGTGTCCATGAGACGAAAAGGGAGCCTCATTTTTATTGATACTCCTTCACATTCGGTTTGTTAACTAACGCACCGATCTTTACATCACCAGGTTAGCCGGACTGAAGAGTGATATAGCTCCACTCACCCTGGTAAGGCCGAGCTGTTGAGTCTTCTGTTTCTTCCTCGGTCTGTCGGCGGGCTCCTCGACCTCGTCTGCTTCGTCCGTGGGCACTGATGGGGGGGAAAAGGTTGGAGCATGTTGGGAGATTTGCTTTTCATTCCGTAAAGCTTAACATGCAATCATTTGCTCTGGCGACCTACCTGCTGACCAAATCTTCAACATTTTGTCCCAGGAGCCACTGCAGAACTGTATGGGGAGCAACACACATGCTTTAACTGTGTGTTGTACGAATCCTAGTCATGGTGCCTCTACCCCTTATCCATCCCTCTTTACCTTTGTGCCGGTGGGGTCTGTCGCAACAGTGTCAACGCTCCCCGTGTGTCCCCGGCAGCAATGTCTGGCTTTCACCTTGTTCCTCTCCGAGTTCCACTCCCACAGCAGGAGGGTCTGGTCCAGAGAGGCCGTCAGCAGCAGAGAGGTCAGACCGTCTGCACGGAAACGCCCACACACACGTTTTTAAGAACGGCTGCCGTTATCACAAGCAGAGCGAGAGATATGTCCGCCACTCCGTCCACCCTCACCTCTTTTGACCCAGGCCACGTCTTTGACCACATCCGCGTGTCCGGCCACCGTCATCACCGCCTTGCCCTCCAAAGACCAGATCCTGGCTGTCTTGTCATATGACCCTGTTAGGATCCTGCAAAGGAAAAAAAAAAAAAGACATACGAATAAGCAAAACATCACATTGTTGGCTCTTGTTTGGGACGTGGACTTGTTGCAGATAAATAATGTGTAAATGGGAAGAAATATCAGTGAAGAAATGACAAAGATGCTGGACAAAATAATAGAGACACCATGAAATGACCACCCGGTTGAACATCACTACACATTTTCTCTGTAGATTACTATGAAAGTGATCTGTGTAATTTAGTATGAACCCGTTCAATGGGTGTCCTGAGAATCTTAAATGTTTAGGAACTATATATTTGTCTGATTGAGGTTAATTTGGTTTACGAGTTTCTTCCCCTCATTCTCTTTTCTAAATGTACCAAATCTGTGTTGCCAGTGTAATGACCCCTTGGCAGTGTGGGGCGTCTGCCATCTTACCATTCAGCGTCTGCATCCACGGCGCTAATCCAGTCATCGTGCATCATGCACTCCTCGGGCTCTGGTGCTGTGATCCGCTCCACATACTCTATCTCCACCACGTCTTCCTGAAACACAGGCAGACGCTCCGACGCATAAATATCAACACGATGCGTTCACAGACAATTCAGTCCCCAGTTGTACTTTCAGCTTAATCTCTACTTTCTTTTAATGTGAAGAAGACTATAATAAAACATGTCCACTCAGGGCTAAGCAGCGAGGCCGGTCGTACCGTAGATATGCCTTCCGTGTCCATGTGAGTGGACAGCGACGTTCGCAGGAACTGACCCCTGACCAGGAAGTCGAACTCCACTTTGCTGTGAGACGCTGCGGAAACAAATGCATTCAAGATGTATTACGGGATTATTTCTTGAATTAAATGAAGTACTGGGACTTTTGTGAACCGGTTGATATAATTACGGCTCATCTAATCATATGTAGGAATAATATTATATCTTAGAAAACTAGGCATAGGCGTATACAAGTGAAACTTCATGTTGATAGAGCTAATATCAATTGCACAGATCTAAATTGTAATAAATCATGCAAATTGATTTCCCAGCAGCAATGAAAACGTGGTTCAGATCACATGTACGCCGACTAAAAGACTTGAATCAAAAGTAAAGTGTGCTTTTTACCATTTTTAGCCTCCAGCAGCTTGTTGATGACATTGCTGAGGTCCTGCACTTCAGAGGCAGCGGGGATGGAGAATGGCACATCATCTACAACATACCTGTAAAGAGAAGTCAGGTTATACCCATGAAATACACACAGACGTTTTACATTTAGTAGATTCGTTTGTCATATAAGTTACTGTATCACATGCATGATATCTCGGGATTGTTAGCATTAGCTAGCTAATTCTTTTCGTTCGTTTCGTTAAAGGGAATAAGAGCTCACCTTTTGTCCTCTGTGAAGAACCTCGTTTGTAACTGCGACATGTTTAATTAACTTGTATATTTCTCCAACGTGCCACTAGCAGTAGATATATGAGGTATGGCTAAGTAGCTAATCTGTGCCTTCATAACACAGCCGACTCTCGCGCAGTCCTGCCATGTGGTACGAAATCAAGGAACTCCAGTAGAGCCCGGATGCAGCCAATCGATGATTCGGATCTGCGCTCGTCCAGCAATGCCTTTGTGGTATTAGCTAAATGTATGTGATGCATGAAAATGGACCCTGTGAGTGTGTTGCTATTATATATTTATTTATTTATTGCTCTTGTCATTGTTATATTAAGTAGCATGTAATTGAAATACTCAAATGCACCTCCCAGTCCTCCACCTTATATATGCTCCCATTATGCAACATGATCAGAAAACACAACGTAAACACTCATTGTTATCTAGATGGTACCCAATTATATCTATCGACCAAGCCAGACGAAACCAACCAGTTTGATAAACTTCAAGCAGCCTTTAGGACATAAAAACCTGCAACTTCCTGATGTTAAACTCAGACAAAACAGAAGTTATTCTACTCGGCCCAGAACACCTCCTCATCTACTGATACAGTTTCTCCAGATGGCATTGCGCTGGCATCCAGCAGCACCGTAAAGAATCTCGGGGTTACTTTTGATCAGGATTGTAACATTGCTAAAATCAGGCACATCCTGTCTCAAACGATGCAGAAAAATGTGTTCATGCATTAGTTACTTCTAGACTAGATTACTGCAATTCCTTATTACCAGGCTGCTCTAATACATCTCTTAAATATCTACAATTGATTCAGAATGCTGCAGCATGTGTACTAACAAAAACAGATCACATTACTCCTGTATTAGCTTCTCTGCACTGGCTCCCTATAAAACTAAGAATTTAATTTAAAATCCTTCTCACCTACAAAGCCTTAATTGGTCAGGCATCATCCTATCTCAAGGAGCTTATAGTACAATATTACCCTACTAGAGAGCTGCGCTCCCTTAATTCAGGGTTACTTGTGGTTCCTACAGTCTTAAAAAGTAGGATGGGAGCCAGAGCCTTCAGTTATCAAGCTCTTCTGTGGAACCAGCTTCCAGTTTCAGTCCGGGGGTCAGACACACTCACGAGTTTAATTATTATTACTACTCTCATATGAATCATTTCTGTCACATGCATTGGATGTGTTGCAACTCCATTATGTTCATTCTCTACACATGACATCTATTGCACTTCTGTCCTTTCTTGCACCAATGTGAGTCCCGGGACAGAGGACGCCGTATGTGTACATATTGTAAAGCCCTCTGAGGCAAATTTGTGATTTGCAATATTTATGAATATATCAATAAATTGAATTCTAACAAAAAGTATAAACTATTTCAACCATTGCTGGGCAACAGCTTCAGTTCCTTACATTTTTCATTCACAAACTTTTTTTTTTATAGCTGCGAATATTTATTTAGTTTAAATATAATTGTCCTTTGATTTTATTTTTTGTGTGCTACAAATGTTTACCTGAATTCGTTGTAAATAACTTGTAAAAACCATACAAAAAAAAAAAAAAAAAAAAGGGGCAGAACTGTGGAATGACATTCTAATGAATGGTTGTGTCCAAATAAGATGTGTATCATGGTTATTAGCCTTAATAACGATGTATTTTTCAAAACCTCAAGAACCGTAAATTATACCAACACTCTGCTCAGTTAACGGGGCTTCCAGCACACATGATTATGTATGAATGCTATATATACACATGTTAACGAATTATAACAATGACCATTTAGGGCTTTGGAGATGCATTGCAAACCGTAAAAACAAAGATGTTTATCTCACCAGGGCAGGCGTTGTCTTGGACAATAAAATGATTCGGCACAATAGAATGGGGAATCTTGCTGAGTTTAATACATGTCTGATGAGTCGTTTACAGTTAAAAATCAACCGAAAAAAAAAAACGTTCAAACCAGGACAGAACTTTGTGAACTAAAATATTTACATTTTCACTCATTTAATAACTGGAGATCCACCATGGTTGTAAAGCACACCTTCCACAGTCATAAAATTGTTGATTTTCTTTAATGTGCACTTTGTTACTTGACGTCCAGAAACGGGCACCCAATACAGCGTTGCCCTTATTTGATATAAATGTATGACACAAAACTAAATTGACATAAAAACTAAAACAGAAAATATATACACCACGATTTCAGTCATCATCTTCTTCCTCCTCCTCTTTGATCTTCTTTTTCTTCTTCTTCTTTTTTGATGACTGGAGAGAGAACAGAAGTGAGCACAACGAATGTTCAAAAACAAACACTGGGAATCTCGTATGAATAGTCTGTAGAAGAAGTTTAAATAGATCCGTACCTCTGTAACTGGTACCTCTTCCACTTCGGCTTCCTCTGGTTCCTCCTCTTTCTTGTCCTTCTTTTTCTTCTTCTTTTTCTTGGGAGTCTCCTCTGCTGCTTCTTCCTCTTCTTCTACAAAACATGCAGAAAAAAAAAGATCATGAGCCTCATAATCTCCATTGTGAGCACTAGTCACTAGATTGCATTTGTTTCCATCCTACCCACCTTCTTTTACTGGTTGCTTTTTGGCCTTTTTGGATTTGGCCACCGGTGTTTCGGGCTCTTCAGCCTCCTCTACCTCCTCGAACTTCCTCTTCTTTGAAGTGGAGGGAATAGTAGAATCGCCGGACGGATCGTACATTCTCACCTCGCTGCGGAGGAATGAGAGGGTATTTAACACCGTTCATATTTACATGTGGGAATACATCATCTTTGGAAAGGGGTTCTGGAGTATTCACCTCTTGTGCTGGTATTTGTCTGCCTGTGCCATTGCTTTGCCCGTTCCGCTGATTCTTCGGATCTGAGAAGAAGAAAAATAAATGGGGAAACGATAAGATGACCAGCAGAGAGAAAGCCCAGAGCAGATAGAGTCATAAACATTGACCAATCTAACCAGCAAGTAGGGCTTGGGCGATAGACTTTACTCTGAACTGCTTTATACAAGTACATGTGAGCGATACTTCTGACACAGAAAAAGGTAAACATCTTTCTCTCGTAGTGTTACTTACTCCTTTCTCCTCCAGCTGGCGCAGCCTGACCTCCAGCTTGGCCCGGTTCTCCACTCCCATTTCGGCATTCGTGTCCTCTCCCAGGGCGTCATAGCGAATAGCCAGGGATGCTTTAGCTGCCAGCATTCTGGAGATCTGGACAGATATTACAAAAACAATGTCCATGTTTATTGTCTAACCAATGGACTGTGACGATTATTACTTAGTCCAGTCACATGTTCTTCTGGACTTACCTTGCCCTTATTCTTGGCACTGGTCTGGCCCACTAGGGAGGCATGGTAGATGAGACCATACTTGGGTGTGTCCTTGCGAGTCTTCAGGGCTCTGAACAGAGCCTTCTCTGCTCCGAGGATCTGCACCGTGGAGGCTGGATGCTTGGCCAGATTCAGAAGGGAACCTTGCAGCAACAGGAAAGACAAGTTAACACGTTGCTCTCGTCGGTACCTGCTCATTGGACCTGTATGCACGAGCTCAGATGAGGTAGTGACTTAAAAGCATCAGTCTTTTTCAGGAAAGCGACATCATGTCGTCATAATCACCGCTCGGCTGGTTTTCACTGGTCTCCTCTCTGTGACTCACCTGCATGCGAGATGAGACGGGCTCCGACCAGCTCTCCCACCATCACGGTCAGGTTGGGGGCGATGGCCATCATTCGGTTCTTCAGGTAGTCGTACAGCTGAGTGCGGTACTCTGAGATGTCAATCACCTACAGAGAAAAAAAAAAAGGAGACAAGATTTGAATTACACCTGCCAGCTGGTCACGAGTCAAACGGTCCCGTAGCCGTACCGTGTGACTGTTCAGATGAGGTAGTGACTGAAAACCCACATGATTTGTTTCAGGGTAAAGACGACATGTCGTCATCATCACAACTGTCACTTGAGCTCTTCAATGTTCGACAGTACGAAAGAGACAAACCTGATCGCACAGGTGCCGTATGTTGCCGATGTCCTGCTCCGACACTTCCGTTCCCATCGAGATCTCGGCCGCCAGTTTGACCTCGGCCTCGATTTCCTCGGGGAGGATGTCGGACAGATCGGAGCCGGCCACGTTGGTGCGGTCGCCTGGCGGACGCACAGAGACACGCTTGGTTACTCGGGAATACAGTCACTGGTGTTCTTTATGCATGCATCTTACAGCTGATCTAATAGTGGATAAGACACTTTGCCCCCACTAGGAACTAAGCCTATCAGCCACTGATGCACCAAACTTAATTTGTATGTATAAGCATGTGCAAAAGTAAATTTTTTTACCTATTTTGCGGACAGCTTTGCAGTAGACCAAGTTGTCAGTGACTACCTTTCCCAGCTCGGGAAAGTGCCAGCCGTACCACTCTCTGCAGCGCATGATGTAGTTGTTGAGCTCCTTATCCAGGTCGTCCAAAAGAGCTGAAGCGACCATGACAAATACTTTAAGTCAGACTACACATTCAAACACACAACCGACATTACAAAAAAAAGGGTAATTAGTGAATATTGTATTCAACTTACAGATGGCCTGCACAATCATGGTGTCCACTTTGTCTGGACTGAACTTCAGCTTGTAGCGGGATAAACTGGAGAACACAGAGAAGAGCTATGAATGGGTTATTCCTCACGGCACACTACTTTTCATATTCCTGTGCTTGGGGAGAGATGGCTGCCTCAGCGGTAGTGACGAATGCTGAGGAAAATCCACAGTAGGTTTCAGACAGCAAGTGTAATCATCGACAGCGCCCGCATTTACGCGATGCCGCGTCCGTGCGCCACGTACCTGTGAGCTAACCCCAGAGACATGGCGCTGATCTCCTTGGGCGGGAGGCCGGTGATGAGGCTCTCCATCTGACTCCTGATGCACCTCATCAGCTCGAACACGGCAGCGTTGTGGACACAGCTCAGGTCCAGCTTTTCCTGAAAACCACAACCGTTTAAGACCAGGAACTCGTGCATTGAACGCGTAGCCAGTATATGCTATCAATTTGCATACTTACTTTAATGACCCCGCCGAGTTTAGCGTCGCTGATGGCCAGCTGCTCGTGAGCATCCTTGGCCACAACCTTCTTTAGCACTTTCTTCAAACTCTTGCCAATTTTTCCCTCGGTAAGGGCAGTGGCAGCTGAGAGGAAGAGGTTGGGAACACCGCATTAGAAACACTAACGTACACAAATGCATAGAACCACAATGGGCCCGAGGGGGAATAAAGGAGTCTCAGAGATAAGAGCTCAGTGGAATATCACGTTTTAATCAGACACAAAAACACATCACAGATCCCAGGTGTGCTGTATTATTCTGCAAAGACATATGTCGTTACCTGCTAAGGCCTCTGTGGTGTCCTGAAACTTCTCAAAGTGCTTCAGCTTCACACTAGCAGGGGACAAAAGAAAACAGTTCAGACCTGTTTTACGTGAGGTACACAGCATCACATGGCAACAACTCGCTGATTGCATGGCACTTACATTTGGTTCGCCTTTTCAGGAGTTTCAAACTCCTTATACAGGCTGTCCACCTGCTGCAGCTTGGATTCATCGAGGACCTGGAATACAACAGAAGCTCTCGGTTAGTTGTCACACATTTAAAAAAAATGTCTTTAGATTTATGGGTAAAGTTACATTCTCCTGAAAAGTTGGTGTTCATCAACTAATAGCACGAGTTTTAATACATTTACAATATGGATGTGGACAGTGTTGTGAGAAGTAGAGACATTCCTTGAAGTTAACTCAGGCACACGTGGTTACAGGGCCTTTACTCTGCCATGCTGCATTAGCTTAAACCTTAGCAAAAACACTCGTCACGTTACAAGCGAAACGTCAAATAAGCCCGTTCACATGCCTGACTACAAATAAAAACACACTATTTCATTCTACTCACTAACGTTACTTACAACTGAAGCAACGTGCGTGTGAGTAGCTAGCCACGAGGCTAACCTAAGCTAACGTGGATAGCTAAAGAGTACAAATCCCTAATTATTTACGTGACAGGAAACAGAGGACGTGTTTATGTATATATATATATATATACCTTGAATATTGCATATCCAGCGGCGGTTTCAAATAACACGAGCATTTTGGCAGCAGCTCAGTTACTTTTGCAGAAAATGTGCGCTCTCCAAGTTGAGAGCCTTCCGAGTCGCCACGATGCTGCTCCCACTCTGTGTGAGAGACACGCGACGAGAAGCGAGCACCAGGAAACTGACGGGTTGCCAGGTCCGTTAATCACCCGATTTCAGAAATGTTTTAAAAACCGTATCGTTGTTTCAGCTACGTATGGAATATGGGTTTTCATGAATATGATATATCAACGTAATATATTGTTAATCATTTACAAGTGCAAATATCTTTTTTATTTAACAGTTAACGCAAAAGTAAAAATAACAGTGAGTTGGCTTAGAAAACCCAGTACCAGCGAATTTATGGCACTGACCTTTTTCAGAACATAGCGGGAGTCCAGTTACTTTATGTATGGAATTAAATTCCACACGCGTTTTCTCCACAACCTGGCAACCCAAAAAGAGGACTTTCGTGTCAAATCTCGCGAGAAATCTTCGCAGACATACCGACTCGAGGAAATAATACTTTTAGTAAAACCTAAAACGCAAATACCGTTGCAGTGGAGCATGATGTACAACTTCAACACAACTATAAGCTACTGGTAGACGTTCATATTTAGTTATTTAGTTATTGTGTTCATATGTTTTATGTACTTCCTGTTCTCGCGGAAGTGACGAACATATGTGCAAACTGGAGCAAAACATGCACATGTGAGAGCTGCGTGGTGAGAAACCCACGTTTACTTCGACTATACTTCACTGTCGATACGAAGAAAGAACTCGGGCGTGAAGTATGGATGAACAGGGACACTATCCTCCGCCGGACTTCGGCTGTCCCCCGCCGACCTCCATCCAAACCTACCAGCAGCAGCAGCCGCCGCACTCGAGCGGCTTCCAGCCCAGCATGTGGAGCTGGAGCGAGACGTCCTCCGAGCCCGTGTGGGACTACAGCGGCCAGGCGGGATGGCATCACGGGGCAGCGGCAGAGTTCGGTTTCCCCTCGGGTCGTGGGAACTATGGACAGAAACGTCCACACGGTGAGTAGCGTATACAGTCTGAGTCTATTAATGGTGATTAAATCACCCAAAAAACAATCACAAGGGCACTATAGCCAGCTTAAAATGGCTTCTTTCATCCACAGCCAGACAAAATGATAGTCTTGTAATGATCATATTGAAAATAGTCAACTAATGTATCTGTAAATATCACATTTGACCATGTTTACTTGACCGTTTTTTTTTCTTCAAATAATTGCTGTAACTTAACCAGTTTTAAAAATCACAACCAGTCAGCATTATCAGACTCTAGTGTGAGTGTAAACCAAACTTAGTGTGTAAAATTGGCGGAGTGTGATGAAGAAAGCATTGTCACATTATTAATAATGAAAGAGTTGATGTGTTTGTTTGTGTTGTGCTGTCGCCTCTCTAACGTCACTCCTGTCTTCAGATCAAAACTATGGTCGCGAATGGCATCGAGGTGGAAGACAGAGTCACGGAGCCCCCCACAACCATGGGAAAAAGGTACCTATCTGTTAGAGCACTACAACTTTAATCATGATCTTAACCTTTTAATAGTTATTATCAAACAACAGCAGCGCGCTCTGCACCGAGAACAAGCCCAGCTACAGCTGATCTGTCTATAATCCACAGCAGAAAAACAAGAAAGAACCAGAGTATTCCCATTTTTGCGACACCTGTGACCGCGGCTTCAAAAACCAGGAGAAGTACGATGAGCACGTTTCTCAACATGTCAAGGTAGTTTAATATATCTTTAAAATCTATAATAGAAGGTTTAATTTATGGAAGTAATCAAGTTCCTCTGACTACCTCCATCAAATCTCTTTCGTAGTGTTCTGTGCCGGACTGCACCTTCATGGCTCATGAAAAACTAGTCGGCATCCACTGGAAAAACGTAAGTGAAACAACTCGCTGTGTATCTTAAACTTACAGTATTTTCCCTTTGTTAATATCAGTCTTTTCTATGTCCTGACTGCAGAACCATGCACCAGGCGCTAAAAGGATCAAGCTGGACACACCGGACGAGATTATAAAATGGAGAGCGGAGAGGCGCAAGTCAGTAATCTAATTGTATATCCATTCATCTTTGAACTATTCATGGCATAATATCATAAATTGATCCAGATTTTCTATGTTGTGTTTATACATGGATTTTGCATACTTCCAATCAGGAAAACGTAATAATAATAATTTGACTTTCCAGAAACTTTCCGACACTTGAGAATATGGACAAGAAGAAGAAAGTGATGGAGGTGCGGGAGGAGACGGGAGCTGTTCTGGAGACGGCTCAGTTTGGGTAAATGTTCAAATACACTGCATCTTTTTCTTTTTTCTTTTATTGCTCACAGAAACAAAGTATATTCGACTCGCTCAGAGTTCATCTTATCTAAACTCTATCTCGCAGGCGGATGAGAGGCAGAGGGCGGGGTCGAGGCCGTGGCTGGGGCAACAGAGGGTTCCGTGGGCGTCATCCTCGAGGCCCTCACCCGTCGGACAGCAGTGAGACAGGGAGACCTCCGTCCCTCACCCAGCCCCGCAGGGACGGGGATCCACTGGGAGCGCTGGCCAGCAGTGACCATGGTGAGGGACTCATCTGACGTGTGCGGGGCAAAAATATGTCACCGTGCCTTTATTGTCGTGTCTTTTTTGGTTCGATATCGTCTCTATCATAGAGAAAACACAACTGCGATGGTAATCGATATGTGTTTCTCACATGCTTCAAGATTCGGACCGAGAGGACCCAGCCCCTGAGTCCAGGATCGGTGGCCTGGTTGTGGCTCCGAAACAGATGAGCTCGGCTCTGGGCTCCCTGGTGGCCAACTACGGCTCCATGAGTGAAAGTGAACCAGAAGGTGAGTTTATAGGTCGGTTGTTTTTATGCTGTTACACATTGATGGACAAAATACAAATTGGGATAAAGCATGTAAAAAACAAACACTTCAAATCTATCAATATTCTTTTTTCTTGTGTTTCAGACATCCCTATTCAGAGAGCCAAAGACACAATATCACAAAAGTGTCCGGACAGAGGGCCCTCGAGAGGGCCGGAGACCTCTTCACAGGTTACGGAGGCCCTTCACACTCCTAACGGCGGAAGAGGAAGGGGACGAAGGGGACGAGGACGAGGAGGCAGGGGAGGAAGGGGCGGTAGAGGAGGACACCAAGATACACCGCAGAAGCGTCGTCCCACTCTACTCGAGATGGTATTATTATACAAGCATATTTCACAGGATTTTAAATTGAGATCATAAAAAGATATTTAAATGTAGATTATCTATATAATGCAGCATCTCTTATTTTCTTTCACTCTGTTTAGTTGCTGGCCCAAGACATCCGCCACGAGAGGAATGTCCTCCTCCAGTGCGTGCGCTATGTCGTCCGAAACAACTTCTTTGGCCTGGAGAGCAGACCTCAGGACCAGAGGGGCGTGAAGGATGAAGTCACACCAGCGATCTCAAGCGGAGAGCACGCAGGGAGGCAGGAAAAGCCACCAGATAAAGCCAATGCTCAGTTTACAGAGACAAGTTCAGCAGAAGTTAATTATCAGGAGGAGTTGGAAACAAGTAAAGCTGTTGTGGTTGACCAGTGTCTGCATACATGCTCAGAACCATCTAAAGATCCTCCTGTGGAGCCGGTTACAGGACATTTCCTCCGAAATGCTGAAGAGACTACAGTGAAAGACTGCCACAGCCTCTACTCAACGGGCACAGATGAAATCAGATCCACCTCTGATACTTACGATGATGAAATATGGGAGAGCCCTGGTGCTGTCATGTCTTAGCAAATTACTGAAATTGATTTATCTAATTTTGTTCTGAGGCATGAGTGAGACATTTGTCTTTGAAATTGTTATTTTTCAAGCACCATTATGTTTGATGTGATGTTAGTTCGACTAACAATATCCAGGTATATTTTTGTAACATGTTTTGTACTGAAGAAATACATTTTTTTTTCTTTTGAAATAAATCATATAATCTATTGATCATTTAACAGTTTGTTTGTTGAATTCTATTTTGAGCTTGATTTATAGATATGTTTATGATGTACAATGTGTTGTTTTTTTGTTATAATCAGAATCAGCTTTATTGGCCATGTATGCGTGCGCATACATGGAATTTGTCTCCGGTTTCCACTCCGCTCTCAATGTACAGACAATACACTATTTTACAATAAACAAGGAAAAAATATATAAGAACAAAAAAGGGCAGCAAAAAAGTAGAACAGATGTAGGTATAAACATTTAACAGCTATATACAATATAAGTATAAATATATGTATGTATATATATATATATAATACAGTAGTGCAAACAGGTGCAATATTATTTATTGTTAATGAGAGTGATGGCCAGTGGAAAGAAGCTTTTCCTGTGTCTGGTGGTTTTGGTGTACAGACCCCTGTATCGCCTACCAGAGGGGAGGAGTTGGAACAGCTTGTGTCCAGGGTGTGAGGGGTCTGCAGTGATCTTTCCAGCCCGTTTCCTGACTCTGGAGGTGTACAAGTCCAGGATGGAGGGCAGGCTGGAACCAATGATCCTCTCTGCAGACCTGACAATCCGTTGCAGTCTGTTTCTGTCCTGTTTAGTGGCTGATCCGAACCACACAGTGATGGAAGAACAGAGAACAGACTGGATGATGGCTGAGTAGAACAGGATCAGCAGCTCCTGAGTCAGGTTGAACTTCCTGAGCTGGCGCAGGAAGTACAACCTCTGCTGGGCCTTTTTCCTGATGGTGTTGATGTTGGGAGCCCACTTCAGGTCCTGGGAGATTGTGGATCCCAGAAACTTGAAGGTCTCTACAGCGGACACAGTGTTGTTGAGTATGGTGAGGGGGGGCAGTGTTGGGGGGCTCCTCCTGAAGTCCACTGTCATCTCCACAGTTTTGAGCTTGTTCAGCTCCAGGTTGTTCTGACCGCACCAGAGGACCAGCTGTTCAACCTCCCGGTCCTCTGGTGCGGTCATATAAAATGAAACCCATGTTAATTCTGTGTATTTGTGACTCTTTATTATATCATATGTGCAGCAACAAATATAATAAGCAGTCTCGTTGCAACATAAACAAATATTTGTTGAGTAAAGGCCAGAAGATGAGATTTTGGATTGATTAAACTATCCATGACGCAAATTATTTTGTTAAACTTCCACTAATTGAAAAAACAGTAGAAAAACGCATATCGTTTTTTTTTTTAATAATTACGCCCTGTATTGACACCTATGGTATAAAGAACATTAAATTCCTCCGAAATAAACACGATGCTTTGGTTCTATATAAAGGTTTACTGCTCACTGTCAAACGCTGCACCGCCCGCCGGACTACCCGGGGTTGTAAAAGGAGCGCAGCCACGTCCCCTCGAAACCACCTGAGCGTGTGCCTATGCGAGTCAGTAAGTAGTTAACATTGGACGATAATAACATGTTATGCAAGCTACGTTAGTGAGAAGAACAATATGTATATATCGTAGTTATTAGAAAGTCATATCATGACTGAAAGTGTTCGCGTTGACCCATCGCGTGTCGAGTTCAACGACGTCGACAGTGCCGGTAACAGATGTTGGGAAACGGTCGAAGACAATATTGATGGGAAAGCCTGCGTTAAAGGTAAAGGAACTTCCGTGGTCATTAACTAACAAGCTATACGAAATTAAAGAATAAAAATGATAAAAGTAATGTGCTTAATAGGGATTTCGCGCTAACGCTAGCTTAATTGCTCGGTAACGCTTAGCTAGCACCTCGCGCGAGAAGTTAAGCTAACTTTAGCTAATGAACTCACTGAGCTAACTAACTTTAATTACTCTAAACATGGACCTTGTTGGTTTGATAAGATACTACCACGTCCAACAATACCAACCAATCCAATTATCTATCTATCTATTTATTATCTATCTATCTATCTATCTATCTATCTATCTATCTATCTATCTATCTATCTATCTATCTATATATACATACATACATACATACATACATACATACATACATACATACATACATACATACATACATACATACATACATACATCTGTCTATCTCTGGCTGTCTGTTTATCAACGGGACATGTCCCAGCTAGATTGTAACACTGTGTGAAACAGATAATATTCAAATAGTTATATGTTTAATATTTATTTTACCAGAATAGTACATTAGTATATATAATAGTACACTTTTTTTCCTCCTTTTTAAGAGTTGTCTCTCAATGAACTCTCTCTATATCTGGCTACATTATATTAGTGTTTGGATTGTAAGTTAAGATGCATGTTTATCTCTGAATGTGTGTTTCTAAATGTTTGCTATTTGAATTCAAATGTACCACCAAAGTGGTTATTTTTAAACACGTGATTGACGCCCTTTCCCCACCTTTTTCTTCTTCTTCTTCTCTGTTTCTTTTGTCATGCAGTTGTTCAAGTTCACAGCATCCAGCACAGCCAAGGTGGTGGCTTCTGGTCTGTCTGTAAGCGGCCAGCTTGAGTTTACTCCGGAGGAAGAGGAGGAGGTCAGAGACCGCCTTTTGATTCATGTAGATGATGTAGAGACCATCACAATCCCTCTGATGGGGTAAGCACTATGTTATAAGCATGTGATATATATACGTATATTAACCATGTTAAGTACCAGACAAACTGCCGAATGTTTTGATGTTTCAACACTCTGACTTTCTTTATATGTTCCTCTAGATTCCCCAGGGCTTGTTCCTTCCTAAAAGACTCAGTACTAGACTTTGGGTGCATCGCAGCAAGCAGTCAGGTGATCAGCAAACATAAACTGTATAACCAATCAGGGATCAGCACCAGGTAAATTAAGCCTTGAAGGTATGTAAAGGTACCTGTCCTCCATTTCAGATATTAAGATACTGCAGATCTTATTCACTAAACTCCCTGTGTTAATACTCATATATTTGTGCGTGTGGGCATTTAAGGCGTGCTCCAGGTGCAGTACAATGGAGACCCCTCAGTTAGAATCTCACCCTGAGGTGGAGTCTTAGCAGCTGGCGCCACCCAGCGGCTGCATGTGGAACTGTGCACGGACAGACCCAGGCAGATTGATGAAAAGGCTCTGCAAGAAAGACTTTACAGCAATAGTTCAAGATAACTGTGAACACAGATAGCATGTGTTGAAGGGATTGGACACTTAATGCTCAGTCACATATTTTAGGATTTGATTTGTATGCTACAAAGAATTAAGGCGGTTCTGAAGGCAAAAAGGGGTCCAACCCGGTACTAGCAAGGTGTACCTAATAAAGTGGCCGGTGAGTGTATATACAATTATTTTTTTAAGAACTGACTTTTAACTTGCATTTGTTGTGTTATCAGTAGAGTGCAAAAATGGGGAATGCTTTGAGCCAATACCAAAAACCGGTTGCTACAGACTGTAATAACAAACATCCTTATTCGTAACACTGTGTTATTTTGTGTCAGGAATCAGGTACATGCATATAGAGATGGAATTGAATCAGCGGTGTGCTTATCTCTAACCACACACTGGTATAAACGTGTTCAGTAGCATTGTGTGTGCTGCAGCGCCCCTAGCTGGTCATGCAACAGCAGTAGCGTTGTTTAAGAAGGGAGTTTCCCTCAGAGTTCATGAGGCAGTGCCACCTCAGATGCCGCAATTAATCCTCCTACGATGTTGCTTCGGACACTATTATTATTCGGACACCGTCTGTGAGTATGTTTTTTGATCAATTTTTCGTATATTATTGGAAGAATATAGTTGCCGGTCTTTGGTTTACTGAAAAATACAAGTAAACGGGAGTTAATTGATAGCTAGCTTAGCTGTAAGCTATTTGGTAGCGAGCACTGCTTGGCATGTTACTCAGCAGTTTCGGTTTCTAGCCGCGGCGGTCCGCGTGCCCGTGGAAAGTAACACTGAACTCTGTGTGCGGGCACGTGATGTGGAACGCGTCATGCAGTTGTCCAATAGGGCAAGTATGAAATAAATGTAATCTTTATTAGGGGCCGAAATTTAGTTGAAAAAAATGCGATAGGAAGATCGCCGCTTATGCAACGTTGTGAACAACACTAGTAGAGCTAACGTCAATTAGCTGCTAACAGCTAACCTTAGCTAACGTCAATTAGCTGCTAACAGCTACAGCACACGGTCTCCCCGGCTAACGGATGATGGAGCTAAAGGTTGCATTGAGTTACATTATGGTGCATTCAGGCTCCAAACAGTAGACATGAGTATTGGGCGAAGGCACATTACAACGTCATCGTGATGTGTTCAAATGTAATCTTGTAAAATTTAGCTTTTGAATAGAAATTTGAATAAATACAGTTTGAAGGAGATATTTTCAAAGGAATATAAAATTGACATAAGAGATGGAGTTATGAACTGGTTAACTTCCTAACACTAGCTTTAAGCAACTGATAAATCATCATGGAAACTACTAATGTAATCTCTAAAATGTTTATTTAAATTAAAATACAGTCTTTTTTTTCCTAATCATTTGAATAGTATGAGTTTATAGATGACAATAACCAAGTAAAAGGATAATTTGTTGAATATTTGTCGTTTTTGTCCAATTGTCCAAATCCTTGTTAAATTCAGTTTTTTTTTTTTTAAATTTTATTAACAGGCCTACATTTTCCCTTTTGTCTCTGTGTGTCCCTCTAGGTGGGAGATATGGTCTATATGGTGAAGGCCACAGCAGAGTTGCCTCTTCCTTCCCCTTTCACTGCCCGGCCCAGTTCCAACATAGTCTCCATCCCCTGCAACTCTGGTAGGAAACCTGTCCCCCCCAAACATCACTCATTGCAGGACACCAACACCAATAATCATGAATTCTTTAAATGCGGATTACTTCACTGATGTTTCTCTCCACCAATAGAGCCAGCTGTGTGTGTGACAGTACTAAGCCTACAATGCAAGGTGGGGCAGGTGTGTGAAGAGATGGTGCGCATGCCGCTGATCAATATGGCCCGGGAGCTAGCTCTGATTATCTGGGGTCAGTACAGCATGAGCGCTGCTGAACAC